TGTTATAAATATATTATATTATGGATGTTCATTTAGTACTCCGTTGTAAATAAGCTTCCTGAAGAAGCTTATCCATATGGGACTCCACCGTAAATATGTTTATCTATTTAAGTACTCTATTGGAAATAAGATTCCTGAAGAAGCTTATCACTTCGATATCCGATTATGGATAAACATTACCCCGGTAGAAGATTATTCATACCGGGTAGAATAAGCTTATCCTTTCAGTACTCAGTTATGGATAAACATTATCCCCGGTAGAAGATTATCCATACCGGGTATAATAAACTTATCCTTTCAGTACCCAGTTATGGATAAATATTATCCCCGATAGAAGATTATCCATACCGGGTATAATAAGCTTATTCTTTTAGTACCCAGTTATGGATAAACATTACTTTCAGTAGAAAATTATCCATATCTGATATAGTAGCAGCTTACACAATAACTTCCTTTCTTCTATAAATAGAAGAGATTTCAGTTTATTATGTACATCAGTTTGAATTCGAATAATATATCAGTTTCTCTCTATACTTGTCGTTTACTTTATAGTCTTTATTTTATAATAAAAAGGAAATAGTGGCAGTTGAGTTATTCTTGACCTTGTTTGGTTTTTCTCCGTTTGGTTATCCAACTCAAAGGGAATATAATAAAATATCAACACCCGAAAAAGAATACAAATCTTCTTCGTCATTCCTCTTCTCATCTTTCAAATTCTCTTTGTTCTCGCCGGTCGCCGGAGATTCAATCGGAAAATTTTTCAAGACGTTTATGGATTGCAGAAGCAAATCCCTTTCAGCATCGCCGTCCGCCGCCAACAATCAATCTTTGCTTCTTACGATTCTGCAGTTTTCATCTCAGCTCTCTAAACCTTCATTCACTCCTTTTACCCCTTGGATACGATACCTCCCGTTCAGTTTCTCCTGATTTCCCTTTCAATTACTCTGTCTCTAAAGGTATATTGACTATCTTACCCTTGATTCCCGCTTACTGTTTAAACTATTAGCTTAAGGTTGGATTTTTATTGTTTTTTGTTTAAATGAACAAAAGGAGAATGAGGAAGTTTACTGTTTCTTAATGGTGCAAGGGTTAATTGTATTGCAGCTCTCCTAAATTTGAGTTAAAGGTTGGAATCTTACTGCTTCATAAAAATGCAGAAGGTATATTGACTATTTTACCCTTGAACCTGCTTACTTTTTCAAATTTAGAATAGTAGTATATTCCAAAAAAGAAAAGTATATTGAAACAGGAAGGTAAGTTAATTGTAGTTCTCCTTAGTTTGATTTAAAGGTTGGAATTTTACTGCTTTATCCAAAGAAAGAAAAGAAATAGTAGGAGTAAAGATTGTATTATACTGCTCTATCCACAAAAAGAAAAATAAATTAAAGAAAAAGCACGGGTAAAGGTTGGATTTTTCTGCTTCTGAATTCTGCAAAGGTTCTGAAAATGTAGAAAGTTAAATGTTTTACCAAGGTGATTATTGTAGGAGATAAGCTGTGTAAAGATGATTGATTTTAACTTTTATGTATGTAAGTGCAATGGTAAATATTATACTGCCTTGAATCAAATTGTTGTCCTTCAAGTATGGTTGTAGAACTTATTTGAGAACCAACATGAAAAGAGTCTTAATTGGATTGAAGTACTAAAATTAATTTGCATAAAAGTAGGCTGATCAAAAGGTCGTAAGAGAAAGGCCTCGTAGTTAAGGCATGGGAGTAACAACCTAGAGATGTCAAGTTTGAATCCTAGTTAAAACGCTTGGTGAGCCCACCTGTTCTAACCTTGGTAGACAAGATTACAGAAGCAACCTATACTTGTGGGTTGGACAGGATGTCTTGTGAATTAATCGAGGTGGTCATAAGTTAGCCATAACACCATAGATATTAAAAAGGAAAAAAATGTAGACTGATCTAAAGTGGAGAGCTTATGATGGTTGGTAGTCTAGAATAAATTTGGACCCGTAAAGTTAAACAGTGTTTCCTAACCGGCCTTATATGCATGTGTTACATTTTTAGTTCTATAATTCTAGCTTTTTTATTTAATTTAAGTTCAAAGTTTTGTTGCAGTTTAAACTCTTTCAGTGAAGCTGTCATTTTTTCCAAAACCTGGAGCTTGAATTTAGGAGACATTATCTGAGTTACAGCCAAGAAGAGGAGGTGGTGTGGCACTTAAAATGATTTAAGTGCTTTCTATGTGCAACTAAAGATGGCTGCTTCTACAAGTGTGACTAGTCCTCATAGGAAGATGTCTGGGAGGAGAGCTAAGACTTCTGGTTGGGCTGCATTTGACCATAACGAGAGACGGAAGCAACAAGGTCTTGAGCCAGAGCCTGAAACAGAATCCTTCCCGCTCTTATCCGTTCCTCCCACTTCCTTAAGTGTTCCATCTCAAAGCATCACAAAGAATAGTGGAGCAGTGCTAGAGAAACCTTTTTCATCCCTGCTGCGACCATCTGTAAGTTTTCCATCCTTAATGGCTACTGAAGGGTCTGATGCCAATCAAATACAAGTTGGCAATTCTCGTCTCAACCAGAGTGATGGTTTTATCAAAGAAAGAGGTTTTCTTGAGGTGTGTCAAAAGCTTAAGGAGCTCCACCCATGGGCTGATGACACCTTGATTACAGATGTCATGGCTGGTGTAAATGATTTCAATACGGCCTTAACATTGTTGGAAGCAATGATATCTCCTGATCATACATACGTTGCGCATGACAACAGAAAAACCAAGGGATTTGATATTGACAATTTTTTAACCCCAAAAGAAGCAAATACTCCCTGCGTGCAAAAGTTTAAAGAAGGAGAGACAGATACTAAAGGTGTGAAGTCTAATAATGAGGCTCCTCTCACGAATAATAGTAACTTTGCTGCTAATAAAGGTGCGACATTGACCGACAGCGTGAATCTGGATGACTTGAGTCATGTGTTCGTTAAGTGTCTTCAGAGCAACAGTCAAGAACTAATAAACAACTTTGTTTCTAATGAGAACAAACTGCATTTTGATGGAGCAGCGGAGGGTATGGAGTTTATACCAGTTGAGCCTGAGTGGGAAGAGGATGATATTTACTCAATCCATCGGAAGGACGCGATGAAAATGACGAGGTAAATTTTACTTGCACTTGTGTATAGGCATTTACCTTTAGAATGATAATATGAGTAAATGACCATTTCCTTGCTTCCCTTTTTTAATTTCATTTAAGATTGCAAGGATGGTTTATAATGAAGATAAGGATAATCAAGCGTTGGCTGGGTTTTGTTCATGCCAGTAACTTGATTGGAAAAACGAAAGCGTTAAGATTTTAGTCAAATGTGTTAAAACTGTGACTCTTGTTTTTCTTTCACAAAAAAACTTTGATTCTTGTTACTGAAAGTCTGAACCATGCACCAATTTGAAGAATCCAAAAAGAGATAAGACGACATTCGTGAGAGGAAAAAGAATTTAACACCCTTTTCATCTATCCTCCCCTTTCTTTTACCTATTGCCAGTATTAACACCTTTTTCGAAGTAAATATAGAAGCAAGTGGAAAGATGGGATGCAGAAAATTTACAGCTAAAACACAATAGGGCACAAGCTGAATATTCCACTATTTAAATACCAAAGATTTCGATCATCTATTGATACAGATACTTAGCGGGGAATATAGTAAAACTCTACAGGTGCAACTGAACAGTAGTCCTATTTATCAGTGCAGCTAAGACTGGTGGCTTGAGTTTGTGTTTCATGAAATCTTTTATATTACATACGTGTGAGACTGTGGTAGTTGGTGAATCTTTCTTTTATTAGTGATATTTCTCTACTTGAGGTGATACTCTCTCTAAGATCCTGTGAGCCAAAGATATCTTCTCAAAGCTCGGCCTGGTTTGGTTGTCAAATAAAGAATTATTCATATGTGGCCCATTTGGAGATGGCATACTTTAGTATGAAAATATTGGGAGAATTTTAGTGGCCAAACAACTTCAATAGCAAATATCATCTTTGCAAACTAAGTTATGCAACATAATATGATGAAACAAACCATCTTCGTTCTTTGTTATATTTTCATTGCAACCGTAGTTTTTAGAAGGTACATGCTTTTGAACGTGTTAAGCTCTTATCCTCGTTATTATTAAATCATTCTGAGATCCTCTCTTCTTCTATAAACAGGTCAGCAGCTCGACACTCTAAGGCTGCCAGTGACGCCTATCTCAGAGGTGACCACTTATCTGCCCAACAT